GCACACATTGCCACCACCTCCCAACCACTGTCACTGTTGATCGTTTCCAACTCCTCACTAGCGTTCCCTTTCCTTCACCCTTTTCCCAATCCGTGCAATCACTGGCTTCACAAGGGTCGTTTATATCGGTGCAAGATGACTGCGGGTCCGATTCACTGGCATTCGCCGGTACCAATTTACCATCGAAACGAATGAACGAATCGCAGACGGACTGGTTGTCCCAGTGGCTGGGTGGAACCACCGGTCGTCTGTAGCAGCGCTATTTACTACCTTGCTCATCGGGCACTTCCTCGGATTTTACAATTATGCATGTAAAAGCACGAACGTAACTGTAAATTAATAACCCAGGCTGGAACGCACCAGGCAAGCCGGTGCGATCATGCGTTTTTGCAGAAAAAATTTGAAATGCTCCGTCAAATTTCCCTACCTGAATCTTGGTTGCTAGTAGTATTTGTTTTTCGTTATTTTTTCATAGTTAAACATCGTCGGTGTATAATAAACGTGTTTTTTAAAGCGATGTTTGGTTGCAGGAATGTCATCGCGATTTGTATATACAGCGCGTGAGGAACGTTTGATGTGGGAATTTCTCTATCAGTCAGTGTTTTTTGTCTTCAGCTTTGATTTTTACAGCAATTTTGATACGCTTTTGTGAAAAAATAGCTGATTGAGAACACCTCCAGATGTGCTGCTTTAAACAATAGGATGGAAAATAAGGGAAAAAACTAAGTGTCATGTGTAAGAAGACATGTTTGGATGCAGTCTGTGTAGTCCGCATCATCCGGGAATATATTATAAGAATTAAGGTCCCCTACTTTCACTGCTTTTCTCGGGCCAAGCTTTTTTAATTCTCATCGTCTTCCGGAGCCTTTCCGATAAAAAGATACCCTTTTCCGGTTTTATCTTGCACAAATGCCTTTCGTTTTTTATGCGTTTTTATGCATTTTTTGCATCTATGCAGTGCAAAAACGCATATTGTCGAGGAGTTGTCTATGTGTGTCTGTGTATGCGTCTGTACCGACTTTTCATCAAGATCTGCAAAAACTACAGGGCTGAAACTTTGGGAACTTAATCTATATGCACGTACAATCCCCAATCCCCAGAATGTGTGCTTTTACCCATGGGGGCCCGCTAGCTAAAGCTGAAATTTCGAGAGGATTTTCCTCGCTCGCGGAGGTCTTTATGAGTTTAGGCCCAGCCCTCGGGTATGAATAGTTCCCACTTACTGATCCGTGAAAGTTTTTTACGGGTAAGTTGAAACCTGAAAAGCTGAAGCTGGAGAGCTATTCCGAGTGCTTCAAGTAAATGTAGTCTTTCATAAAGTAGTGCTTACGTTGTTCAGCTTCTGCACCGGGCGGATCTTTCTTCGTTTTCTCTGACGAAACTGCTTCGCCTAGTGCGCAACCTACTTGGCTGTTCCCGCATTCGTCTTCTCTCTTATAATTGCTGCAC